ACAGCATAAGTGCCAAACTCTTTGGTCGGAGGCAATGCTAAATGCAAAACACCGACGAATTCCGGAGGGTCTATGCGACGTTGATGCGAGCGGATTAGCGAGGGTAGTCGTCGTCAACACAACCAGTGAAACAATGGTGTTAAAAAAAGGGCAAAAGATAGACGAATGGGAAAGCGCGTACTGCGACGATATGCGCTTCAAAGATGCTCCGACAGATATGGCTGCAACCAGCGGAAACCAATGTCTGGGAAAGAGAGACTAGACAAGCTGTTCAGCTTGCTGGTGAGAAATGGGAGATGTTATCACCAGAGCTGTTTGACATCATAACAGAACAGTATCAAGTGTTTGCTGTAGAAGACAGTGAGTTAACGCAGACTTCTTCAGTAGCTCACGATATCCTCACGGGAGACTCAAAGCCAAGTCGGCATAAAACAAGGCCGGTACCCAACCGTGCCTGCGACGAACTAAAGATATTTTAAGCAGCTTGTTTCGAAGAATGATCATTGAGCGATCAACCTCTGAAAGGGCGTCGCCGGTAGTCCTGGTGCGGAAAACGGTTCGATCTATGTGCAGCTATTGTGCATAGACTATCGATAACTGAACGAATGCACAAGGCACGACGCCAACCCAGAAATTGATACGATGCTGCAAAGCCTACAAGGTCGACGATCTTCCTCAACTTGACATGGATTCGAGTTATTGGCAAATTCTCCTATCGACTGCAGCAAAGGAGGCAGGTGCTTTAACGACGTCGGAATGTCTGCTTCAATTCACACTTCTTCCATTCAGGTTGACCACATTACATGCCGCGTTCCATCGCTTCATGGATACACTGTTTCATGGCTTGAAGAATAAGGAGGTGTTTATATATGTACATCGAGGATATCCTTATTGCCACGACTTCAGAATCGAGACACTATGAAGTCAAAGGGATGGTGGTGTACGCGTTGCTGAGCGCTGATCTGCGATTGAACCCTAAAAAATGTGTACTACTTCAAGAAAGTGAGGCGCTTTTGAGTCACAAGATAGATGAAAAGGGAGTACACGTGGACCCTAACAAGATTATGAAGATAAAAGAGATCCCGAAGCCTATGAATATAGCAGAACTCCGGACATTTCTTGGTATGTGTAGCTACTACCGGGAATTCTATCTTAATTTTTTGAAAATAGCAAGTTCGTTGTTTGAACTAACGAGAAAAGAGCTACCAGGGTTTTAGAAGTCCAACAGTACAGGTTGTCTATTGAGTATGTGAAAGGGAAAGCGAATCTTGTGGCTAATGCACTATCACGAGGCGTTCCTATAAATGCATCAGAAGCAGAAGGCACCTTTACTGAGGAAAAGATCGTATGTAATGTTATGACACAATGCACAGAACGGCTAGAGGAGCTACGAGTGGACTTCACACATCTCTTTTGCCAATTCCTGCGGACTAAGTTAGAGCCTACGATAACTCTGGAGGAACTGACGTACATTGACACCTGACGTTTCGACCAATTCGTCGTTATCAAAGGCCTGAAAGCGTTTAGGAACTCCAAAGTACTACCTATCACGCTTGATGGAGACCAACTCTTAACTAGTTGCAACTCAGATGAACTTTCAACTAGATAGACATCCCAACAAGTCACTCACGTCGGATCCACCAACACCGTATCCTTGCTCAGCTTTAAAGACGATAGGGTGAATGAGACCTCCCGATCAACCACGATCCATTAATAGTTTCATGAATGACACGTATATGTCCATACTATTAGAGCTCACACAGAGGATAAATGGCAAGAGGTCACCCGTTATGTTGGCGCA